GGAAGAGGTTCTGCCTATTTGGATAACCTGGAGAGAACGAAGCACAGACAGATGGACAGACAACACAGAGGCACACATTTCCCAGCACCTCTTCTACTTCAACTGTAGTGAGGTGGGTCTGAGCTGACCTCTCCAGACAGGAAGCTGCTCTGGGGAGGCCCTAGGACTGATTTTTTCCCTCCCACAAATACCCACTAATCTCCAGTTCTGGGCCAGGCCCAGGACATAGAGCAGACTCAGGCCTGGGCCTGCCTTTGAGAAGCTCATAGTCTACAGGAAGGACTATGCAGGGAGAGGCAGTGACAGCCAGAGCCCTCATGGGAATCACCGGCGCTGAGAGGCCCAGAAGTGAGGGTGGGACTAGAGGAAGCTTTCTGGAAAAGGAGGAACTGAGTTGAGGACAAGACAGAGAAAAAGTCCAAGAAGGGGAGGGAGTGTGAGGAAAGGGCCGGAGGTATACCAGAGTGAAGAGCAGGCGCAAGCCGCAGGACAGGGCAGGACACAGAGGCTCTGGAAGGCCTGCCGAGCGGATAGTGGGGGTGGGAGGCTGGCTGGCTGGGGCGCTCAGGGAGGCTAGGGACGTTTGCCCGTTGGCTTAATAACAGCATTAACCACCACCACAAAAGTATCATTTCAAGTTATCTAAATTGGTGACTAATTACTTCACCCAATCCTCCCAGCAGCCCAGAGAGGCAGGTGCTCTTATCTACATTTGAAAGATAAGGGAGTGAAGACAGGAACCTAGTCTGCTCCTCCCAGGAGCCTGGAAGGAGACAGGAATGCCTTCTGCAAAAGCAGCCCTGCCAAGCCTTCCTCCTCCCTGGCTGACTGAGGCCCCCTCCTGTCCACAGGCTCTCCCCGTGTCTTCAAGGTCTTTCTGCTCCAGGCCACCTCGCTGGGTCCAGGCCAATATATTCCTGAGCTCCCAAGTGGTGACAGTGCCCTCTCCACTGTGCCTTGGGGAAACAGAGGATCAGAGGGGGCACTAAACTGGATGGAGCATGAAGCAGGGCTGGTGACCAATGCCAGGAGCCTTGGCACAGTGGGGGAGGGGGACTTGAGGTCGAGGTGAGAAGGGAGTTGGAAGCTGAGGGGCAGCATCTGACAGCCTGGAGCCACCTCACTCTCTCCTTCCCTCCCACCTCCCTGCTTTAATCTGCCTGGAAGCTGCTACCTTAGTGCCTGATGGGCAGGGCTAGGAGGAGCTGGGGACCCTCAGTCCCTGCTGGGGACAGAAAACTCCTCTGCCCTGCCTCCAGTCAGGGTGAGGTGGGTATGGGACAGTGGAGGCAGGGCAAGGCCATCATTCAGGGAGCAGATGGGAGTCAGAGATGGCTTTTTACTCCCTCCTTCACCATTCAGGGGGAGCTTTGGCTCAGAGAGTAAGGCAATGTGTCTATGGGGACCCAGCACTTCCAAAGTGACCTGTCTAAACTGCAAATATGATTGTGACTCTACTTC